CCCCATTTGACTTTCTTTTTTAACCAAGTCAGCTTTACATTTTTTATTCTAATTCTAGGGAATACTAAGGTTTCTAATTTGGAATGAACCCACTAAATAATTTTCAGACGATTCCCTTTATTTTCATTGAACCAAAATAATGGCAGCAGACTAGTGGAATAAGCACAAGCTTGGGAGTCAGTCCCAGAGGTTGAGTCCCCTCCTTGCTGTTGACTGGCTCTGGGATCTTGGCCTTAACGTCTGTACGCCTAGTTCCCTCATCTAGAAAATGGTGATAATAATGCCTACCTTGCAGGAGCATCCTGAGGACTCAGGGAAATAGACATAAAGAGATAAAATCATCCAGCGTGGTGCCCGAGGGGGTTTCATTTGGTTCACCGTTGTAGCCCCATCATGTAGGCCAGTACCTGGCACAGAAGAGGTGCTCAGAGGTGTTTGCTAAGTGAATACTGAATGAATGAATGAATGGATGAGTGAATGAATGTGTTCAGTAGAGGATAGTTCTTACTAAAGGCATGGCAGTGTTTTCAGATGTGAGAAGTCTTTGTAAAGCAAGAGACTGATTATTCACAGGTTTGAAGAAGGGGAATGCTTTGCCATAGCAAAATTTACTTTTTCCCATCATGCAGCGTAGCTTCAGGATTTTTTGAAAGCTAAAGTAAAACTGTGACCATTAGGTCATCTTTGTAGTGTTTCTTCAGTCCTTACACCATTCTTCCATGAGGTATCTAGAGAGGTCTCATTCTGCCTAGTCAGATATTGTTTGAAAGCTTGAAATGAAAAATGAAACCAAGTTAAGTCTGGCTGGTAGCCATTCAGAAATAGATTTTTTTTTTAAAGTAGATTACTTTTCAAAGACATTTTTCCTCTTTAAGACTTCCTTGTTTTTAAAGAAACATTTAGTAAAACAACAGGAACGTCTTTTCAGTGTCTGGTTATCTCTTTTTCAAGACTGAGTTTGGTAAATTACATAGTATTAGCTGTTGGTCATCTTCCGGGTAAAAAATAAAACCAAATGAAGTCTTTAATGTAATTTATGAGTTTCTCTCCTAGAGCTAAGTGAAACTCAGCTTCATAGCTTTTATTTGTTTTGGGGCCTTTAATATTAGTCAGATTAAAGCTTATGTTTTTATAAAACTATAAGGACAAAGAATTATGTTAAAATAGCTAAAAAAACAAAAAAAATGTCTCCAGTGTTTGATTCTGCATGTCAAGAATAACAGAGAAAATAGGGTCTGGTTTCAGAACCTTGTAACCAAAAATGACAGTGTGGTGGGATGGGGAGTTGGTATGGGGTTCGGCAGAAACTCTCGCATTCTCTAAAAGGAAAACGAAAGAAGGACGTTAACTCTTTGCTGTATTATGAACAGGACAAGTGTATAATTGAAACCAAACCATTAACACCTTTTCTCATACTGCCTTCTGATGTCATCTAATTACTTACTGCCTGCTAATCTTATCTCCTTCAGGAGCCGATCTTAAAATTACACTGCGTTGCAGTTAGCTAAACACATTGCACCTAGTCAAGGCACATAGTGGACTCCCAGTAAATATTTGTTGAATGACTTCTGTGCACTTATGCAGGTGGGTTTTCTTTCTGATCTCATGCATGACTTACTTGTTTCCACCAGAGAGGTTTCAGTTTTGCTCTTTCTCTTACCTGAAATGCCATTCTCATCATTGGCAATACTGCCTCAATGCAGTGCAAAAGAACACCTCCTCCTAGAAGCCTTCTCTGATTAACCCACCTGAATTAAAGCCATCTCACCCATCGAGAAGCCCCTTTTATAAACATGGCTGTAGTCATTTCAGAATGATTTAAGATTCTTATTTCTCTTGGCTCTGACATCCCCCATGCCCCACAATATACACGCATCAAGAATAGGCATTGAGTCTTATTTCCCACAGGGACACCCCTGCACATGCAGTGTCCACCTATGGAAAGCACACTCAAAGGACGTGTTCTATAGCTAGGTAATGAAATTTTTAACATTAGTGTAAAAAACCAGACAACTCTGATTGCTTGTCTCTATCGGTCTGCCAAGAATGGGTATAAATGGAATCAAGGCTGTGAGAGATGGATCTTTTTCATCAGACAAGTGATCAAAACCTAATACATTTACACCTCAGAATTGCTTTAAAGGAGATTGGATGACTAACAGAAAGTCTTCCAAAGGGAAATAATATATGGTATTATATTTAATTGAGAGACCTGTACAATATTTGAACTACTGTACAAAAACCAGTTTCGATTCATTCAATCTTTAGAAAAATGATTTGGAAGAGATTAAACTACATATTGCTATGGCTTATAGACCATCATAAGCCTTTGGTACCTTCCAAACTTCCCCCAGTGTGAGTTGAGCCGTAGGTCAGGCTGGCACTCAGAGCAAGGTGTATGCTTTCAGGCAGGCCTTTGATTGCTGTAAACTAAAGGGATAAGCAGACAGGTCACGAGAAGGTTTACAAAGAACCCATAGAGTGCATAAGGGTGTCAACAGCAGTAAAAATCCCTATCTATAGGTGGAGTTACAGGGTATATACTGGTGAGGTTAGTGGTTAAATGTGTTTAGCATTGGGTTGGAAACCACTTTTTTCCCCTCATATTCCACAGAAAAGATAAATTTTTGGCCTATCTCTTTTAGACAGAGCATAGGCTTTGGTGCAGGGGAACTAGAGGGCTAGCCTAGTGACCTGATTATCCCGAATACGAGGCTCTGAGTTAAGAAATAAAATAAGTAGGAGATGTTGGGGAAGTTACCTGGTTAAAGACATGGGCTACGGGGGTCCAATACAGGAAGACGTAGAGGGCTTCAGCGCTCATGATTCGACCTGGACTCTGAGAATGACTGAAACACTACTGGGTTGGAGATATGGGGGGAGGAGGAGAAGGAGTGGATTGGAGGGTGTGTAAAGCGATGTGGCTAGAGCAGCATTTGACAGTGCTGGTTTTAATGGTGGCATTTAAAGTGATACTCCAGTACTAGATGTTGAAACCTGGGGAATAAATTATTGAAGACTCGGGCTTCCCTGGTGGCGCAGCGGTTGAGAGTCCGCCTGCCGATGCAGGGGACATGGGTTCGTGCCCCGGTCCGGGAAGATCCCACACGCCGCGGAGCGGCTGGGCCCGTGAGCCATGGCCGCTGAGCCTGCGCGTCCGGAGCCTGTGCTCCGCAACGGGAGAGGCCAGAGAGGCCACGACAGTGAGAGGCCCGCGCACTGAAAAAAAAAAACAAAAACATTGAAGAATCACTGAAACCAAGAAAGGAAAAATAAAATGAGAGGACATTCACTCCTCTTTTCCCACATGTCTTTATTGAACATTTAAAAGGTCAAAGGCACTCTCCTAGGTACTTTGGAAAAGGGAAAGGAGAAATGGAATTGATCAGAGACAGGCTTTTTAAAGGGAAGAAATTCTTTTTGTGATTCATTAAATCTATTAATATCTCATATATTTGAAGCACTTTAAAAACAGTTATTAATTTCCCCAAAACAGCATATATTTCAGGTGACACATTTCTATTTTTTTATTATAGTTAGAAGTTGAAATAAAATTCAGTAAGGCAGTGAATATGACCTCTAGAATTTTGACCATATCATAAAATGGTCAAAATGAGTTTTATTATCTGTGATTGCATTAGAATAAATTCGAGGGCATTAAAATCATGTTAATTCTCTCTTTTATCCATCTTGATACAATTACCTGAGATCAGCACATATGAAAGGAGATTTTGTAATTTTTAGGCTGTTCTGTTATTAGCTCTAAGACTTTATTTGAACTTTGTTCTTCCCATGTTATAACTGCTTATTGTCTTCTAAAGACAAGTACCTTAGCTGTGAACTTGGTCACTAGAGCACTGACCACATCTGGTAGCCACAAGACAGGAAACCGTGACCTGGCATGGGTTTCTGAGCCATTCTACAAGGAAGAGGTATTATAGTCTTGGATTCACTTTTGCCTGTGCTGAAACTTTAAGAACATGATAAAAAAATGACCCTGTGGACACTGAGCCCTGGAAGTCTCTATCCCTCTCAGCAGTGCTACAGTCAGGCCTCAGCCTTGGACTGCTACCCACACCTCTCTAGAATTGCCCTAGGCTTCCCTTAAGGTGGCAGTGTCCATGGTGAGGGAAAGGTGTATCCAGATGAGGGCAACTTGTGGTCAGAAGGTTGTGTTTCAAGGGCCAGTTCCATCACTGGCTAGATGCATGACCATAACTTCTTCCGCCTTAGTTTCTCACCTGCAAAATGATGGAGGGGAAAGCAACCACATAGCTATGGAGGAATCGAATGAGATTATTTATTTTTATTTATTTCATAGCATACATTAATCGCTTTACAAATATGAACTCATTTCATCCAAATTACTATCCCATGAGGTAGTTACTATAATCATTCTCAGTTTACCTGTGAGGAAATGAAGATGTAGAAAGGTTGAATAACTTGCTCAAATCCCAAAACCAGTAAGAGGCAGAGTTGAGATTCAAACTTGGCAAATGGTAATTACTTATTTTCTATCATAAGGGGATAAGGAAGAATCTGAAGAGCAGAAATGGGCAGTGTTTCCTGTTTGTGATCATTTGGGGGCCCAAGATCCTGTGTGGTGGTGACAGAGGCACAGTAATTAATGCAGATGTCTCTGCCACAGGGCTGGCTATAGGGGCTCCCGGGCTGACTGCCTGTGGCTGATGAGCAAGATGGTGGGTGAGAGGCCTGACCCTAAAGAGAAATAGTGCCTTTCTAAGAACATGTTGAATTTCCGAGTTAATTACGTGGGTCTCTCACTGTTGCGGCCCCTCCCGTTGCGGAGCACAGGCTCCGGACGCGCAGGCTCAGCGGCCATGGCTCACGGGCCCAGCCGCTATGCGGCACGTGGGATCCTCCCGGACCGGGGCACGAACCCATGTCGCCTGCATCGGCAGGCGGACTCTCAACCGCTGCGCCACCAGGGAAGCCCACGAGTTAATTTTTTTTAAGTATCAAACCAGCAGACAAACAGATAGGACTAAGGTGCCTGTAGGTGGCACAGGCCTGACAGGCCTTCTCCATTCTGCCCCCCAGTGGTTATCCCCACTCCCATGCTCCTCACACTAGCTTTTTCCCTGGTGAAATTCACCATGAAAACTTCATTCCTTTGGGTGAGGGCATGACCCCTAATAAACTGTATATACCCCTGGACACAGTAGTACATTATTCATTTAGTGTAAAATTAGCCAGCAGATGCCTCTGGTTAGGTCTAGAACCAGGAACAGGTTTTAGAATGGGAAGGGGAGAGAGAAAGGCTCAGGGTGCAGTGCTAGGAATGTTTGCTAATTGATTGATCTGCCTGTACTGCTGTCACTGGAAGATTAGAAGCCCTTAGCTGACGCCCATTCGCAGGAACTGACCTTTGGAGCGATGACTGTGGTCCCAGCCCATACTGTCTCTTAGCCTCCGGGCAGTCCGTGTAAAGTTCGCAAGTTCAGTCTTACGGCTATGCGTTCCCCAAGAGGAGAAGAATGAAGAACTGGGCATTCGCTACCAGGGGACTGAAGGCAAAAGCACAGGACAGTTTTACGAAAAGGAAACAAGTATTTTCGAAGTAGGTGAGTCCCTCCGAGCCTCAGGTGGCCTCAGCCACCCCCAGGATCCTGCTATCTACCCCAGTCTCTGACTCCACCTGCCTCGCTGTTGAGATGACTTAAGCAAGTTGATAAAGGTGGCCAGTTCAGGGACAGGGCTTTTCTGTCTGTCGAGAAAAGGCAGTCCGGCCATGCACGGGAAGCCCTGATTTGGAACACCAGGGCACCTTACCAAGTGAGTCGCGGTGGATTTTGTTGGAAAGGCTTAGGAGCAGTAGTACTGGGTCGGGGGAGGAGGCGTGAGAGGGGCTGGCTGCCTGTAGTTCTCTTCTGCCTCAGTTCCCTAGCACTGCTCTCCCAGCAAACGCCAGTGCCTGTAAGTTAGAACATCACAGACCGTTTTGATTCAGCCAGTGCCGGTGACGGATGTTTCAAGGAAGTAGGAGGGACCTGACTTTCTCCGCTACTTGGAGAAAACCATTAAATGTTTACTAGGAGGGTTCTGACTTAATGAACAAGGAATATCGTGAGTTCCTTAGAACAGAGGTTTTTGAAACCAGAATATCCTCAGGAGAGACCGTGGCTTCCTTTACCAGGTGTTTATTCCATGACAGATGAGCGCGCTTGCCCAGAGTTGGCTGTGAACTTAGAGCTTTTGTTTGCCAGGTTTTGTCAGGATTTCTCTTTGCCAGGCCAGAGCTATAGTGCAGAACCACAGTGCATGTTTTCTTTGGAGATGAATATCAGTGTTTTCCTTCAAAATTTGCTGTAAAATCTTTTAAAAAAAGTATACAGCCTCCACTTCCAGCCCACCCCCTCTAACGGCAAGCCCACCTCTAACCCTCTGGGGAGCCCGGTCTCTGGGGTGAGACTGGCCAGCTGGGCAGATCACAGCACCAGCATTGCTCTGCCCAGAGCCTTGAACCAGGTCAATTCCTAGTCTAATTTCCGGAGTCCACGCACTGATTTTCTTCCCCACCTCCTCTTTTCTGTGTTTTTGCTTGTATATCTGTCTTCGTCAGAGGGTTTAAGCTCCTTTGGGGGCAGGAGCGCTGCAGTCAGGAGATCCAAGTTCAGATCTCAGCTCAGGCATTCACTGGCAGTGTGACTCTATGCTGGCATTCCTTTTTCTATAAAATGAGGGCTGACATACTCCATAGGGTCTTTATGAGAATTAAATGAGTTCATACATGGAAGGTGCCGGGCATACAGCAAGAGTTGCATAAGTGGTATTTTGTAACCATTGCCAGCATTCCCCATAGAGCCCAGCACATTGTAGGTGTTTAGTAAATGTTTCTCACATACTAATAAAAAAACATTGCCCTTTGTGTAGGAATTGCCATAGCTGGTTGAAGAGCTGAGGGAAAGGAAAAAAAGAAAGAGAAGGCATGGTATTTCCTTTTCAACATTTGGGGAGTTGGTGTGAGGTAGTTTGGTGCTCAGGGGTGTGAAGGAGAACTGTGCTTAGTCTTTTGTCTAAACCCCTCTGGAGTTTGGGATTTGTTTTGCGGGCGGCAGTAGGGGATGGTGGGCAAGGCGGTGTGATCTGTGGGGAGAGAGCCTATTATGGCGTGCTTGGAGAGAGTGGAATTTATTCTTCCGAACCTTGTAACGCTGCCCACTTCACCTTTCCCAAGGCATCTCTGAGGATAGGCCTGTTTTAAAGACTTGAGCTGACATCATCGCATCTTAAAAGAACTGAGCATAATTGAATTGCTGATACAAGTGGGTACTTGCATTGGGCCCGGGTCACCCACATCTCTATGGAAACACATGTTTGCTTGAAAGGCCAGCAATCAGAAGCAGAGCCTTTCAGGAGCCAGCATCGGGTCACTTTTAGAAAAAGGCATTTATTTATATTCTCGAGCTGTCAGAGACCTGTGCAATGAAATAATTTCAAATTAAATAGAGAAATCAGGCCGCAGATGAATGCCTTAATAGAGCCTGCCGTGCGCCCTCCCCCTGTGCCCCCCCCCCCCACTGTGCTCGCGGTGCCTGAGATCTGCACGTTTATTTTAGCTGTCCTTTGCTCTTTTCCGCCCATTTGCATTCTGCTGCCTTGGGGAGGTGGTTTGGCACTTTATGCAAAAATGGTTAATCTTCATTCATACACGTGTGCTGGTACTAAAATGGAAAATGCAAAGCCGGGCCTGCCGTATAGCGTACGTTGTGCTCTTCCTGGCGACTCTGTGTGTGCAGCATGTCCAAGGGAGCACAGTCCCGATGACTCTGCTTCCTACGCAAGCACTAGGGGCTGTTGAGTCAAGACATTCTCTCATAAAGGTCTGAAACTTGCATCAGCACATCTTGCCCTAGATGTGCTCAAGTGATATCCTAAATGATTGGAAGCTTTTATCTGCCTCTGGAAGCAGGATTTTTCGAGTCAGTATTGACTGTTAATGACCTGTTTAAAGAAAACATTCAATTTTCTTTCTTCCCCCCACAAAGAACTTAGTAGGCAGTGACATTTCTAAACCAAAGGCTAACCCTGCTTTTCAAAAGGGGCAGAGTCAGGGCTTTTAAATGTGAAAATTTTTTTCCCTGACATTTGCCCTTAAAATGCTTTTCAGTGAAGTTGTTCTAACAGTGGGTTTAAAACACTGAAGTGTCTTTGAATAAAAATGCAACCTTGAGATTTTTTCCCCCCCTTCAAATTAAACAAAAAAGTTTAGGTAAGAGTCTTCATGTGAAATTCATATTTCAGTCACTATTCTCTGTTTCATTGTTTATGTGTCTTCATTCCCAATAATTAAAGCAACTTTCCTCCGAGGAGCGAGGCACTGCACAAGAACCTTTATTAAACTGTGGGGATTAAACCCCACAGAAAAAAGAGCTAAAAAAAAGAGCTACTTAGATTATGAGAGACCGCAGTAATTACAAGACCAGGTAAGGAACAGCTAAGGTAGGAGTGAAAGGGAAGAGGACACAAAATGGAAGAGAGAGAAGATTAGGCAATGGAAGAGTTAAGCAACAGAAAACCTATATGATGTTATTGATACATTTAGGCAAAGTCCCAGTTTTACAGAGGGAGCACTGTTTTCCTCTTCAGCTGGCATGTAAGTGCCCTTGACTGTGCTTAGGGGACTGGACAGTTAGTCCTTGACCAGTTTAAAGGTGATCTTTACAGAGAAATAGCCTAGTACGTGGGAGACAGCACCCACGTCTTTTTTTTTTTTTTTTTTTTAAGGTGAATTTTCAGCTTTCAGCTACCCTGGCTACTAAGTGCTTGCATCACCTCCAGGGCCCTTACAGACTTGAATACCTGAGAGCTGGAAAGGACCACAGAGGTCCTGTGCTCTGAAGGCTAGAGAAGATGCCACCCCAAAATACGGCAGTGGTGGTTCAGGCATTTATTTATATTCTCGAGCTGTCCCCAAATATGCTGCTTTGGTGTATTGATTATTGTGAGGTGTGCGCACTTGAAAAACAGCAAATGCAGGAAGAGGCTTTCTCTGAACTCCCCTTTTCTGCTTAAAGACAGATCGTCCAAAAGGAGCTCAGTTGTCATAACTTCCCTCCCCGGGAGTTTCACCAGCCAGGGAGGATGTTGACTTTCATCACAGGAGGGGAGACTAGAGAATGGACACCACACTCAGCAGACTTTGTCACAAGCTACCATACATCCATCTGTTCTTCTAAGGGCTCATTCATCTTTCCTAAAAGTCATTCACTCTCCCCTCTGCTTTTCCTGTTAAGATGGTATTTAATCCTGAATTTTAGGCCACCTCGGGGGAGTTCTTCATTTTTCCCTGAGTATCTCCCATGTGTATGTGAGATATACATGTTAATAGACATCTGGTTGTTTTTCACGTATTCATCTTTTATTACAGGGGTCCCAGCTAAGAACTCAAAGGGTAGAGGGAAACTTATTTTTCTTCCCCTACAACTCCAATCTCTTTCTCTGCAAGTGAATACCTGAGGCCCTCGTGCTATACTCTGACAATCTAGAACCTTTACTCAGATGTTCCGTCAGGGCAAATGGTGGCCCACATAAACAGATGTGCAGGCTTCCCCAAGCTCTCTGTCAAAATTTCCCTGTCCTGTTTCCCATTCTCTCAGAGCACCTCTCTCTGCTAAGGGCCAAATGATGGCAGTAGAGAATGAAATAAATTAATGTGTGAACTTGCACCTTCTTCCAGAGGTGGTAGTAATCCATAAGCTGAGTAAAAATGTAGACATCCCTTAAGAAGTTTCCCCAGGTTAGGAGTTGGCTCTCTGGGAGACTGTGGGACGCTCTGTTTTGACGGAGAGGCTTTTTGCTGCTTCTCCAATCACATCGCATAATTGACTTCCTCCCCACAAGATCAGTCCCGATTCTTCCTCTCTGAGGCAGCCATGAGAAAATGTCTCAGGATCTATGTGATCACAACACTGTCTAGGCTGTACCAAAATCAAATACACAGACACTTTAATTACTTTAACTTAGAAAGATGGAGTAGTTAAACATTAGACCCTGAAATGTCGTGGAGCCTCTGGGCAACGTTGTAGAACCAGGAAAGCAGCTTGTTGGTCAAGGGCCCACTAAATGAAGCTTCTAACATTCTCATCTGAGGTAGAAGCCACAGGAAAACAGCCATCTCTTTATAACAGGTACATTCCCTCCCATTCCTGTGAGAGTTTAGTGCTTTGCTCTGCAGTCTGTGTGCCCTGCGAATGTACAAAGCATACATCACATGCCTGACCGGCTGGAGAAGGCAGCACCCGGGACAGGTTTTATTCTCCTTGCAGAGTTCTTACTGCAATTCGTATACAATGAGCCCCGTGACTTGTTTATGATGCTTTTGAGGTGCTATCAGCACAATGGCTCTGGGCTGCAGAGCTTCAGACTGCCTGGGGTTGAGTCCTGGCCCTGCCACTTACCGTGGGACCCCGGGTTGGTTACCGAATCTCTGTGCCTCAGCTTTCACGTGTATGAAATGAAGATAATCACAGTTTCTACTTTATGGGGGTATGAGGGTTAAATGGATAAATATGTGTCAAGCACTTAGCAGAGTGCCTGGCACAATCTAAGTGCTCCATATTATTATTATTATTAATATGTTGGTGAAAAGACCATTCCCTAACGAAACTAGCTCCCCACCCGTTTATCTATCTAGGCATCTGGAGAATCTGTTTGTTGTGTGTGGTGATTGGGATCAAGGAAGTGGCCCATTCTTAATATTCCCAGGCTAGAGACTATAAAGCAGTGGTTCTCACAGTTTGGTTTGCGTGTGTCTGAATGCCCTGGAGGGTGGGTTAGAGCACTGACTGCTGTGCCCCCCTCCCAGAGCTTCTGATCCAGTCCTTCTGGAGAGGGGCAGAGAATTTACATTTCTAACAAGTTCCCAGATGCTGCTGTTGCTGCTTCTCTGGGAATCCCACTTTAAGAGCCACTGCTCTAGGACAGCAGTTTCCAGTAGAAGTATGATGTAAGCAACATAGGCCATTTAAATTTTTCTAGTAGTAACATTAAAAAAGTAAAAAGAAATGGGTGAAGTTAATTTTAATGTTATATTTTATTTAACTCAACATGTCAAATATTATCATTTCAACACACAACTGACATAAAAATCTACTGAGACAGTTTACATTCCTTTTCTGTAGCAAGCCTTTGAAATCCAGGATGTATTTTACGCTCCCAGGACATTCTGGTTCAGACCAGCCGCATTCAAATCTGACTTTGCAAGAAAATGACCCGAGGAAGTTTCTTTTTTCTGGCCTCCACCTCCCCCCCATACCAACTCGCATTCTCTATTTTTATGTTTTTTTATAAATCATGGGAAAACTTTGCATAAATAACCTTGAAAAAAATTGTGAAAATCATTATTTTAAATTTTTTCTTATGTATTTCCTCTGGCTCTCTAAATTCCATTCAAGAAAAGCGATATGACACCTGAGAACAGGAAAGTCAGTCTAAGAGCAGTAATAGGTTTCAGAGAAACAAAAGTGAAACTTTATTACTGTCTACATAGTGAAACAGGAGGGAAAACGGAGATTGGTAAGTCGGAAAGCAATTGGCATTTCAATATACTGTTCTAACTTTTTATAGTTTATATGATTGCATGAGAAATATAAACATATACATATCTTTTTTAAACTCCTAGTTTGGTAGTTGATCAGATTGTGGTATATATTAAACTCCTCTGAATTGTATTAACTAGAAATACTGAAACAAATGTATGTGCTGGAATTTGCACTATTCAGGTGTATTTTTCATAAAGAGTATTTCTTTTTTACAAACTAATAGATTTTCTGACTAGCATTAATGCATATTAAGATCTTTGCATAAGTAAGTTCAGTTTGATGGTAACTATAGTTGTGGATTATTAATTTTACACTGGATATGTGTATAGATGACATATTGGTGATAGATAAATGGTGAAATGCTTTTCTTTGGGATTGACATCTTTCCTAATAAGTTAGGAAATGTTTGCCCATTGTAAATAAGTTTCTGACTATGGAACATATATCTAAACTGAGGTGAGAGATCAATCTGAGATTTCATAAATAAAATTTCAGTCAACAGTTTCCTTGATCTTTATTTTTCTCTAGGATATATGTAAAACTTAGATGATGTATATGTATATTTGTAATGTTATTACTGAAAGCTGAGGTGTAATTATAGGGAAAACATTTCAAACAATACCTAAGCTATTAAAATGTTGCACCAATATCAGGACTTGTATTTCTGGCTATTTTCATTTTCTATTGATTATTTATACGCATGGGACATGTATGTGTGGATTTGAATAGTTAGGCCCCAGTAATTGGTCTGTTCTAAGAACGATTGTAGTGATAATAGGAATTAGAAACCAGGTTCTCCCCCAAGAAGTCAGAGATCGTCATACCTTTCTTATGGACTTAAAAGCTCTCGAGATCAAGCTATGTTAGAGATAGACCATCAAGCATGGTGACCAAGCGTGATGAGAAGGAAATAGGAGGTCCGTTGGCCCCAAACATGTCAACTTACTCACAGCATCAAAGGCTTCTCGGGTTAACCCAGGGGGTCTGCAGCTTTGAGGGATGGAGTTTCAAGTTGCTGAACTCCGGGCCTGTCATTTAGGAGGAGGTGATAATATATTGTTTCTTAGAGGAAAAGTTCCTTAACTATTTTTTTTTTTTTTTAGTTCCTTAACTATTTAAGTTAAACAGTTGAGATTCAGATTAAGTGGATCTGGCTGTCCCGATACAGTTCATAGCAGAGAACAGAATCCCAGAAGAATAGGGGCACAGCACAGTTTCATTTTCCTGGGGGCGAGGGAGCCAGAGGAAAGGTAATGGGCATGTGATGCCACGCCAGGGGGAGGTGTGCTTCTGAATATTCTGGAAGGGCTAGTGCCAATCTGAGGTGTGGACACTCAGGAAGGGCCTTTGACACTGAAGGTCAACCTTGTCCCCGTTGTTTGTCCTTATCAATAGAACCCAATGTAACTATCTAGCCACTTAAATTCTTAATTCTTAAGGCAAATCAGATTTATTTTCTATTTATATTGAAGTCTTTCATTTAGTTTCCATAACTGGAACTGGAGCTGATTTCCCAATCTCTCTGTTATATGCTAGCCAGCGGAAAGCCTTGATGAACAAAGGCCGTAGGAATCCAGCTGGAAGGAATTGCCTGTAGAGATAGCACATAGGGGGGAAAATAAAGAGTAAAATGGGCAAAGAAGAGCTCCCTACAAATTATTTTTATCTTATCTTCCCATCTGAGGAACCTGTAATAGCCCCATTCTACTCTCACAGCCAGCCTTTTCCTTCCACAATAAAAATAATATTGTAATCAATCTTACTGGCATCACAACCAAAGAAGAGTCTTCCTTGACTTAGACGCCAAAGCAATGAGAAAGAGAATTGCCAAGGAAATATATATATTCCTATGAATCTAGCTTACCATTCAGTACTGCCACTTACTCAGATCTCAGAAATTTTCTGTCCTCTGTGGAATTCCTCCCTGATTTCTCTATAGATTATAACACTCCAGCTTTAGAAAATGCTGCACACCCAAATCCTAGACATCAAAGCAAAACAAAAACAAAACCCTTTTTCTATCAGATTTCACACATGTATAATGGCAGGGTCCGGAAGATGTAGCTAATCCAGTCTAATGAGAGGAATTGTGGCTCAGATCCATCTTAACAAATTGCCCCAAGTGTTGCTGTCTCCTTTGAGCCTTCCTCACTCCATAGCTGCAGCCTGTGTCTCTTTTCTCTGTCTTCCCCATCCTCATTCTCTCACATACATACATACACTATCACATATAGAAAATCTATGTATACGCAGTGTATGTTTACATAATGCCAGAACTTCCATTTGAATAAGAAAATCAACCATTCAAATGTCTTCAGATATCATGCTTATAGACTATCTTGCAGGCATTGTGATGACTGGTCAAAGGTTTCACATCTATGGCTTGTAAACAAAAACACCTGATTATTTGTGCTTATACTTCACATACCATCTCTATTCACTGTTATGGATAATCAGAAAATAATCCTAATGTCTTTTACTAGTAACTCTCAGGGGCAAGAATAGTGAGAATGAAATTCAGACATTATTTGCCAGCTAGCATTATATACTTTCTCCCTTATGCCAAGGCAGAGGATATAGCATTTACCATTGGGAAGCGTTATTTAAATGGAAGGTGTATCCAGTGGGATGGGCACTCTGCAGAGTATATGGGAAGGAGCTGTCTTACTGGGGATTGAGTATGCAGGGTCTCCCCTGCCACCGTGCCCAAATGCATGTATCAGTGGCAATGTCATTTGGAAACTTGTAAAAATAAAAGTTTACTGTTTCTAATATTTAATAATATAGTAGATAATAGTATATGGATTCCTATTTGAGTGGTAATAGAGTTAAGATTACATATTGCCAAGCTTTCATCCTAAATCAACAAAAGGTAATGGATCTGAATTTATGCTTTATTTAAGACCTAGGCTTAAAAGAAGTTTTGGTGTGGAGAAATCAGAGAACTTTTGCAAGTTGTCCCTGAAATGTTATCAATTCTAGATACACTCTTTGTAGCCAGAGTCAAAAAGGATATAAGAAAGAGTTTCAGTGGTTCTTGATTGACAAAAAGCATTAAACACGCAAATAGGTAATATATTGATATCTCGGCCTGTCTAGCTGCTAACTTCTGAACCAATCTGTTTGCCCATTGTAAGTCAGTTATGCCCTATTTCAAAAAGAGATTGAAACTATTAAAGACTTAAGATGTAGCTTCTATAATAGTGATAAAAGATTTAGACTGGATGAGAAGAAGAAAAACACCACAGCTTGATATTAAGAATACAGATCTTCTCATAGTGGGCAACTTTTCAAAGATGATTGGGCACCAAAGGCCGAAAACCTAAAGAATTTAGGAAAACGGAAGGGTTATGGGCAGTTTTAAGAGTACATTTGAGACTACAGATCATGAATTTACAGTCATTAAAAATATGATACAGGTATATATGTGTTGATCTGGAAGAATGTTCATATATTGATAAGTGAAAACACAAGTTTAAAAACTATTATGTGTTTCTTATGTTTTAATATGGAACCTTTCTCTTGTTTCTTCCTGGAGTGTTTTGGCATAGTTACATACAGGCAGGAAAGACTCAATGTTTGCTATATTGACTAGAGACTAATAAAATCATTGGAACAGTAAAGATTGTGATGACAATGCTTAGTTAAAATAGGTACACTTTTCCTCCTCTCACCGTTTTGACCACCTTTATTTTACATAATAAGAAACACAGTTTAGGTGCATACCCATCTGTGTTTGTCATTCTCCATGTTGGTACAGTATGAATAAAACATTTTACATTGTCATCTGGAGTTATTGTAACATGCTTTTAGAGCATATCTAAGACAAGTGCTTAGCTTGAAAGTACTTTTATATTCTAAATTGGTATTTATGATTATGGCTGAATGAAATTGTTTACTATATTGGAAGAGAGCATAAAAATAACACATTGAGAAATCAATTTTAGAACTTTAAAGTTAATCATTTTTTTTCCCCTTCCTGGTAGGGCTTATTCCACTAGAAGCAAGATGGCTGAACTCAATACTCATGTGAATGTCAAGGAAAAGGTAAGATATAATTAAATATTGGCTTGCAGATACTCCAAACTGGATAATGTAGTCTCTAGCTAGTAAAAATTCAATTATAATGGAGGAAGGGAAAAATGGTTTGGGAGAATGCATAGTAAGCTTGACACACGAGAAAACCATTCCACAGAATCATAAGTAGCATTTACTAAATGGGTGTTATGCATATTATATTCATTTTCTCATTTAGTCTTGACTATAACGCCATGTAGTTATTTTCATTTTACAGAGGATGGAATTGAGACACAGAGAAGGTAAGTACTTTGCCTGAGGTCACATAGCTAGGAAGCAACACAGCTGGGATCTGAACCCAGCAGTGCTATTCTACAGTTCATACTCTTAACCACCATGCTGGGTTCCATCTAAGAGCGGGGGTATTATGCTACATCTCCAAAAACAGCCCCGTAGAGATATCCAAAGCATTCCCTAGTGGTCACGCTGAGTAGCCTTTACCGTTTCTTTCAACACTGAGGGTTCATGACTCTGAAAATCCCCCCTCCTCATTATTCATTGGAGGCTGAGTGTACTTCAGAGCCGTTCCAAGTCTTGTCCTCCTCTGTGAATTTTCTCGGCTTAGGGTCACAACCCCTCCCTTGCCATATATGCTCCCTTGCACTGTTAGCTCTTAAATGATCATACACTGTAGATCCCATGAGACCAGGGAGTTAAAGTTGTCCAAGCCATTCATCTGGCGCCAGGGGAGCTGAGGCCCTGGAAGGGGTTCGTCCATGGTCACACAGCAAAGTGAGAGAGCCTCACCTGGAACTCACTCCAGCCTTCCACAGGGCCACCTCCCACCTCCATTAGGCTAACTACTTGGGGGCCATAGGTTGTCTTTCATCCCTTTGTATCCCCACAGTGCCTAAAACCCTGAGTGAAGGATGAGAGAAGTAACATTACTGGAATCCTCAGTAATTTTTCTTTCCTTTAGCCAAGACATATCAGACTCCTGTTTTGTCCCAAACACTGTCTGGATGCTGACGATGTGGCACTGAACATGTAGATGAGGTTCCTGCTCCCATGGAGCTTGTTTTCTAAGGCAGGGAAACAGAAAGTAAACACAAGAACATATAAATGAACACGATCATTTCATATAGTGATGTCTATGATGAGGAAAATACAGCAGGGCGGCACGGGCAGGTGGCTACTTTAGATGGGGCTGGTCAGGGCAGCCCTCTCAGAGAAGGTGATATTTGAGCTGAGATAGAGAAAACAGGAAAGAAACACCATGCAGTGATCCAAGGACAGAGCATTCCAGGTAGGTAAGCAAAAGCAGGTGCCTGAGGAAGACTGAAGTTCATCGTGTTTGAAGAGCTAGTGGTTGAGTGGCCGGTGTGGCCAGAGTGTGGTAGGCAGAGGGATGGTGATGGGAGATGAGGGCAGAGAGTACGCCAGGAACCAGAATTGGTAGAATACTGACTCTTCACCTGTTCCCTCAACCTCCACAGCATCCAGGGGTGGAAGCCAGGGTTTCACAAAGTTGGATGAAAACAAAAATGAATTTTCATCTTTACTCGTTATCTAAATGAAATTTAGCATTTCCTTCAATCATGAATCTAGGCAAGGGAGAAAAACAACCCACAGGAGTAGCAGGAGTACCTGTGACTTTCACAACTAGAAATCACAGGTGTCTTCATATCAAATTACATTTGTTGCAGATATCCTGAAAAGCTGTTTGTTCATCACTACTTCAAAATTACTGTAATTACAGAACCTGCCGCTATGTTGTGTTATTTGATGTTGACAGAGAAGCACGTACATTACTGTAGCATAAAATTTTTTATTAATATTTTAATGTTATTTCAATATGAGTGGTTTCCTCTGTAATCGTGTATGTTTTATTTAAACATTATTCTGAGAGGGACCCCCGAGGCTTCACCAGACTGCCAAAGGGGGTCTGTGCCCCAAAAGGTTTAGAAGCTGAGACAGAAACATGTAGGGTTTTATTCAAAGGGCAAAAGTAGCCGTTGAAAGGAATTAAGCAGGAACATGACTTATGGTATATTTTTAAAACCTCCCCCAGCTTTGCCAGCTGCTGTACTACTTATTTTATAGATCTTCATATTAAATAACTTTTCTGTTTGATGAGGACACAGAAGCTTGAGATAAAGTGATTTGGTCAAAGTCAGAGTCTCAGGGAATATGAAAGAGCAAGGATTCAAACTCAGCTCTGTCTGGTTCTAAAGCTCATGCTCTTTCCACTGTATTACTGCTTCCCAGAGTTTTCCACTAAAATAACCCCAGGGCACAGAAGAACAAACTTGCTACTTTGGGACATGGTCAAAACCAACTTCCACATATAATTTCTTTGGAGTCTTCTGTGTGATCTTAAAAATGGATGCAATTTTTTAATCCATTGTATTCTGTAATATATTCCATATATTATGTTAATACAGAACTGTTTTCACTTATCGACCATTGAGCAAACAGTGGCAGAAGTCTGGGCCCTTTTACATTGTGGCTTCATATTCTCTGTGACTCACAGTCATACACTCGGGTGAGACTATGTGTTCCCAGTTTGAGAAGCTGGGTCCGGCACCACAGTGCTGACCAAATATTGGCCCCTTTCCAAATATCTGTTGATGGATGGGTTGAACAGCTCCTAAAGTTGGGTTATGGGAAGGAAAAGCACTTTAAAGAATCAGTCATAGTAATTGATTCCCTGCAAAACATGGCCAGTGGACAGACCGATATGGTAGGCTCAGCAGATAGAGTGTCTTGTTCAAAACAGAGGTGGCCTCGAGCCAAAATGGGGAAGGAGGCTGATCCGTGATCTCACAGACCACAGAGGTTCAGTGTGAATGCTCCGTGCATGGGCTCAGGCGCCACATTCATCCACTTGTCATGACCAGTGTCACATACACGTACGAAGAGTAACAGGAGATGGTGGTTTTGCCATTGCACTTCAGTAACTTATCAAAATGTTGGCATCGTTTTGAAAGAGGGTGATGTTTAAGTTGTAAATATTATCCATCTGCATGACAATGGAAGTAAAGCTCCTCTAACTCAGTAAATTCCATCTTCCCGTATCAAAAGGTTAATAGATTTCTCAGCTCAATAAAATAAATCATAATAAACAACGGAAAATTCTGATCATTTGTAATTTTACATTGATTTATTTTCGTTCTTTTATTTCCTTTAGTGATTAGCTTTTATGGCCTTTTTATGATTAGTTTGTTTCCCAATCTGTCACACAGCACTGACATTTTAGTTCTGAAAATTAAGAATAATAACTGTTATGTCTTAAGTTATAAATTATAAGCTTTTAGAGATGTGAGAACAGATCCGTGTGGTGTTTTTATACACTAGCTAGTCAAGCACTGTGGGAAATGAAATACTCAGTAAAAGTCTTGCAGTGAAATGAATTCATCAGTTATCTCTAGTGGGTCCACTATTGGATGAATTGGAAAGGAAGAGGTGCTTGGGTGAGAGAATCATTTCTGTCCTCATGCAGCTTAACTTAAGGTCTCTCATATCCAAGACAACTGAAATTTACAGTTGACACTCTTTGTGACTCTTCTAAAGTATCTCTATATTATTGGACTATAACTGAAAGGATTTAAATTGGAAATATCCTTGAAGTCAAAGTTTGATCTCCTTAGGAGTGTGACAACCATCCTCTGTGTGAGCTGACCCTGTTTACATTTCCACCCTTATCAGTAGCCACTTCTCTACTCTCCCTTCAACACAGCCATCCTGACCATGAATGTTGCTGCCTCCAGGCCTTTGCAAAGGTAGTTTCCTCTCTCTGGGACGTCCTCCACAGGGACCGACCCTCACTCACCTCCCTTTTAGGAAGCCTTTCAGGTGGCTCCTTTCTCTGCCCTCCTGCCCCTCCTGAATTATTGGCCCTTCCTCTGTTCTCCTTTGTTCTTCAGTGAGGCTCTCTGCCTTCTGCCTCTATACCATGGTTAGTGGTCTGTCTCCCCAAGGGAGATTGTGTGCTCCTTGGGGGCAGGCACTGGGCCTTTCTCATCTTCATACTCTTGGGTTTGACACATAGTTGACCCCAGTTCGAGTTAGATAAATGAATGGGTAACGAATGAATGAACACGCCTGCTTGAATCGTTACGTTCTTTAGGGACAGATTTCCCATTCACGATATTTTGCAAAACCTCAAGCCTTCTTGGAAACTGAAATGTAGGTTAATGGAAGTGTCATCTCATTTTAGTACTCTCTTTGCTATTAAATAAAGCAAGTTTTAAATTGCTTCTAGAAACAAGCTTAGGTTACTTCTTAGGTTGACTACCTGTGGTTCTGCAGAAAAGCAGCGTCTTTATGAGATGGTTATCAAATACTGGCGGTCTCAGGTAGGTTTTGCCAATAACAGATGAGGTCCTTTGGTGAGTAACCAGTCATATCCCACTGTACCCCCTCCAAAAAAAAAAAAGAAAATAATCTCCATATCTCATTTTATTAAGGAAAGATACCAGAACAAAATCTTCAGGCTAATCAGGGATCCTATATTTAGGGCCAATTCAATTTCTACAGCTCTTTTCTAAGTAACGTATTTTTTTTAAAGAAATTTAACACTAGAACCTCCTAGATGACTTGAGGATAGGGCTCAGTAGTGACTATTACATTATTCTCATGTGAAGCACTAGGGTACCAACCTAAATTGATTTATAAAGTTTTAGATGTAATTCTCAACTGAGTAAGAAAGGATTATTGGAACTGTCATGCACGAAATAACATTTTCAGTCAGATATTTTCATGCATTATTATAAATCAGTTTAAATAGAATACAATTCAGCAGTACAATTTGGTGATGGAAAGCCAAGGGGATCCTTGTTTGTAAAACGGGATTACAAATGGAGTTACAAAATAATATTTGCTGAATGTCTAGTTATGGTCTGATAATTAATTCCAACAAAAAGTGATCCTTAAGCCACTGTAGGACACCAAGTATGCTTGGGAAGTGATCTCCAGCAAGGTAAAGTCATGGAAGGAGCTTGGAGTTTGGAGACAGTAGCAGAGATAAG